GTGTGCAAAAATTAAGAACCCAGAGGCCTCTTCAAAGTTTAATTGGACATTAAATGCATAGTGTGTATCTCCAACCTTGGTTATGCTCCAGCATGTTCAGCCAGTGAAAGCTGGAGGTACTGTAGAAACACAAGGGATCGTGTATTGGTCTTGCCCATCAGCCTTTTTGGCAGAAGGTAATTAAATGTAACATCTCTGGACCTCTTTGTACATAATTTGCTGCTAGGCTATTTGATATTAGAGTGGGGAATTGGCAGCAGACAAAAACTTTGGAATCTACAGGCAGACATAAAAGGAAAAAAAGCATTTCGCAAACAACAGGTAAACAAGCAATACATGGAATGCAAGGTCCATTTTTAAAAAATTGTATGATGACTAATGTGGATCTGTATATTGGTTATTCATCAGCAATCACATTCTCTGTTCTCCTCTGCTCTTAAATTATCCTCAGTCCTCTCTTTTGTCTCATGGAATTGACTTTTTTTTTTTGCTTTTGTCAGTATTTCTGGCTGAATTAGAATCATAGAATCATAGAGTTGGAAGAGACCTTATCCAGTCCAACCCCCCAGTCAAGAAGTAGGAAAATCACATTCAAAGCACCTCTAACATATGGCCATCCAGCCTCTGCTTAAAAGCCTCCAAAGGAGGAGCCTCTACCACACTCTGAGGCAGGGAGTTCCACTGCTGAACTCCTCTCACAGTCAGGAAGTTCTTCCTAATGTTCAGGTGGAATCCCCTTGCCTGTAATTTGAAGTCATTGTTCCACATCCTAGTCTCCAGGAAAACAGAAAACACGCTTGTTCCTTCCTCCCTATGACTTCCCCTCATATTTATATATGGCCACCATATCTCCTCTCAGTCTTCTCTTCTGCAGGGTAAACTTGCCCATCTCTTTAAGCCAATCCTCATAGGGCTTATTCTCCAAACCCTTGATCATTTTAGTCACCCTCCTCTGGACACATTTCAGCTTGTCAACCTCTTTCTTCAATTGTGGTGCCCAGAATTGGACGCAGTGTGATTCCAGGTGTGGTCTGACCAATTACATGTTATAGAGTTATTCTTAGAAGAAGGTGGAGCAGATATGTAGTACCTGCTTGTGTTGGGGAGAGGGGCAATGTTTGGTGTTCCTTTTCTGTATTTTCTTCTGTTGTCATGTACCTTCAAGTTGATCCTGACTTACTGTGACCTTCTTATAGGGTTGCCTTAGCAAGATTTGTTCAGTGGTTTGCCATTGCCTTCCTCTAAGGCAAAGAGAATGTGGCTTGCTCAAAGTCACCCAGTGGGTTTTTATGTTTTCTATTCAAACCTTAGTGTCCTAAAATCATCACCTAGCACTCAAACTACTACGCTGGCCCTATCAATCAACAAAACTTTAAATAAAAGATAAATGCAGCTGAATTTTTTAAAATTGCATATAAGCACAGAACCCAGTCCAAATCAGGCTCACTATACACAGATGGGGAAAATTCAACCATAACTATTTTCAGGACTACACCTCATTCCTCTTTTTGCCTCTTTTCTTTTAAGGCGCAATGTCAAGCTCCAATTCTCCAAGACAGCTCCAGAGCAGAGAAGGTAGCAGCTTTCTAAACTTCTGTAGGTGAACAAAGGACAGAAAGCTATGCTCTCCCTTGAAAATTAAAACAGCTGGGTAGGTGTTGCATTTACACCTTTCCCCAACCTGTTGTCCTGTTGCTCTGGAAAAATTGTTCTGGCAATTCCTTTTACACACACTGAATGCAGCTCAGGTTGTTTTCTCTTAGTGCCAGGAAACATTTGTGCATTGCCTGGAGTGAAACCTCATCTCAACACTTTAAAAAATATATAGTTCAATTTTTTTTAACAGTGCTTCTATTTCCTCCACACATCGTTTTGTTGGGTGTTAAGTCAATCATCAGGCAGAATTAGCAAGAACATGAGATATGAATGATCTGATCTATTTATGGTGTGTTTTCTGTGTACCTCACTGTGCCAATTTCCTCCTTGCTTGCCTTTAAGCTCATTACAGCATGAGAAGGGCCACACCTGTAAGGTCCTGCATCTGGAGAAATGCCAGCGCATAGCATGCCTTACATTTTCCTTGTCCAGAACAGAATACGCAGAGGGAAGTGTTTACATCTGGGTCTGCAAAACAAGCATCCTTGTACAAACCCTTCTTCTTCCTCTAGCTCTCTCTCTCTGTAAGCATCTCATCCTTCCACTTTGTATTGGTGTATTTACAGCCTTCCCTTTTTTGGCTCTCGTTCTAGCATAAGCATCCCCTCTTCCCCTCAAGCCCTTCAAAAATCAGGCAAGGTGGGAACGAGATGTTTCTTCTCACACTCTCACAAAATTACTCTGGGAAACTTGCTTCGTTTGTTTCCAGGGTAATAGTCATCTTACAGCACTTTGAATACTCAGAACAGTATCAACAATATAAATATGTTTTGTACCTGAGGCCTTGGTACCAGTTGGTACTACATCTGAAAAACTGGGTTTATATTCATGAAAGCTAATGCTAAAATAAAAACCAGTTAGTCTTAAAGATGCTTCCGCTTTCCTTTTTTCCTTCCACTTCCTTTCTCCTTTACAAGCTGCAAGAGCTATTTCTTTGAATAGAAAAATAAGGAATGTCCAATGATGATGGAGTGGAGTTTCTGTGTTATGCTGGAGTGTTAAAAAAGAATTGAGCCAGCTTGTTATATATTGTGCTTTATATTTAGTATGTAGAAAGCATAATATCTAAGCAATAAAGTACACTACATTTCTAAAATACTTAGGTTTCAATTGCCACATGCAGATCCAGAACAGTGCAATTACCTTAAACTTTTTGTTAGACACATATCACACATGCATCACATACATCACACATGCAGACCAAGAATAGTGTAATCTTAAGCTGTTCATTAAACACAGAGATCATACTGCTCTGTGCATGCTAGACATGGACAACCCAGGATATCCAGAGCTACTCATATTGGGAAGAAAGCATGTTAAATGTATTTAGCAACATAGGGAGACAAATAAGGTCCTTGTGTGAGTTTGTGTGTGCCTTCATGTTGTATATTAATTAATGGCATTCTCATGAATTTTGTATTATGACTTCTCTGAAGGACAGTGGCTCTTGCTCTGTGCACTATATTCTTGTGAATGAAGAATCACACTGGCGTTCTTTTTCTTTATGGCTGCTGCAACATACTGTTGACTCAGATTTAACTTCTAAGCTAAACTCCCGATAACTTTTTCACTTTTTTTTCAACTTGAGAAACTGGAAGTCTCTTCTGGTGTGAGAGAACTGGCTATCTGCAAGGATGTTGTCCAGGGAGTGCCCGTATGGTTGATGTTTTACCATCTTTGTGGGAGGCTTCCCTCATGTCCCTGCATGGGGAGCTGGAGCTGACAGAGGGAGCCCAATTCACTCTCCTTAGATTTGAACCACTGACCTATGGGTCAGCAGTCCTACCCGCACAAGGGTTTAACCCATTGCGCCACTGGGGGCTGTACTTTTTCTCATGTAGATATGAAAATCATATTAAGCTCCCTAAAACTTTTTCTCTAGGATACTAGAACTTTTTTCATATATAGATAAGGAAATCAGATTTCTTCTATCTGGCATTTGTGGATTTCAGTTTTTCGGTCTAAATATTTACTTTCCATTTGTCTCTGTTGAAATTTATCTTGTCACTTTTGGCCCAGCTCACCAATCAGTTAAGGTCATTATGTCCTCTGGAGTCTTAGCAACCTTTCCTAATTTGGAGTCATCTGCAGATTTGATAAGTATGACCTCTATTCCACCATCCAAGTAATTTAATTGCGTCAAGTAATTGCGCCACCATGGCTCCACATTCCACAATCAAACTGACAGAAAAGCCTAAAATAAGTATATACTACACCCATGGCTTTTCCTTGACCTATCAAATGGATAAAAAGTTGCCTATACGTGTAACAAAATATGAATAATCTATTTTTGCATATATTATCATATCTAATTTAATGCAAATAATGGTCTCTTGCCTTCACTTTTTTTTTGTGATGATGCATCACAGACTATCTCAATGAATTATTGTCATGTTTCTCTCTCGCCTGGAGAAGTACTCTGCATTTTCCTGTATAGGAAAAAAAGAGATATCCAGAAAATCTAATCCCAGAGCCTAGAAACATTAGCATTTTTTTCTGATTTTCTTAAAAGTACCCAAGCATTTCTAGTTCAAGAGCAGCATTTCCAAGATCTGTGTCAGCTAACCTGCTTGCGCAAATTCAAAGCAAAGAGATCTTTCCTAGTAGACCAAAAGGTCAGGCTCTTAAGATAGTTCAAGCACACCCATCCTTTCCCATTTTTCAAAATTGATACTTACTTTCAGTAATCAGCGAATTTACTGTGGACAAATGTGGAGAAATGATGAAATACTCCATTTGTGCTGTTAAGCTATTTTCAGCTTGTGAGCCGATTCCTTTGAGGAAGTCTTTCTTCATTTCAGCGCAATTTCACTGTGACTGCCTTGACAGGAATGCTTCTGTGTCTGGGAGAAAGAGAAAAACGCCACACACACCCAGGGATCCTCTGGAAAGACACGGATTAAGTCAGGGTAATGAATGGCAGAGGTGATTCAGAATAGTGGTTCTGGAATACAGCAGGATCCCTTTCAGCAAAATCTATGAGTGTGCACAGAATGCAATTACTTACTAATTGGACCCCTAGTACATCCATGGTTATAAAGTCTTAGCATCTCGTTATGTTCACCTTCAAGGCCCTTAATTCTCCAGACTATGCTACAACTGCAAAGCACATCAGTGTCCCTGAAGATTTTCCAAGCTGTTGGTTTATGTAGTAAACTCTAGAGGTGGAGGTGCAGCGTGGGGTTATTTTTGTTTACTTATAACCTATTTACATACTTTCTTACATGCACGTCTCTCTTGTTTTCTGGGGCACAGCAGGACATGGCATATACTGCTTTCAGGGAGAAGAAGGGAGATGCTTTTCATCTTAATTAGGCTCTGCCGAGAGTGAAAGATTGAATCCGTGCTTTGAAACCAAGAGCATTTATTTTTTACCAAGGAAAAATTCAATACATGCAACCCAACTTTCACTGGCATTATACTCTCATGACCATTGTTCTTTCATTTGTGTAGAAATAATTTATATCAGCCTGTAGGTCAGTAAAACTCATTTCCACTTGGCGGCTGAACAGCTAAACTGGCTGAATACAATTGTTGTAGGGATATAAAAAACGATGCTTTTGGATAAATATGGAAGATAATCTGCTTCTTAGCCATTCACTTTCATGGATTTCAGTAGGACTCATGAATACATTAAACACTATGATTAGGGAAAAGGAGAAGAAATGATGGAACAAGCTAAAGTTTATCCAGTTAAGCCATGACAAATATTGATTGTGGTGCAGTTTGTGTTACTTTTGGTGTTACTGGTCTTACCTGCTATGCCTCCAGTGCTCTTACATCAGCTGTCTGAGCCTCCAGTGGCGCAATGGGTTAAACCCTTGTGCCGGCAGGACTGAAGACCGACAGGTTGAAGGTTCGAATCCAGGGAGAGTGTGGATGAGCTCCCTCTCTCATGCAGGGACATGAGAGAAACCTCCCACAAGGATGGTAAAACATCAAAACATCCAAACATCCCCTGGGCAACATCCTTGCAGACAGCCAATTCTCTCACACCCGTAGCGACTTGCAGTTTCTCAAGTTGCTCCTGATACACACAAAAAAGCTGTCTGTCTATCTGTCTGTTTATCTGTCTATCTATCAACTGGTCAAAAAATGAGACAAAATTGTTCCCATGGTGAAGGCACTAGAGCCCACTTAATCCCTGGCCACGCCCTCTTTGCTGAAGGTTTACCCAATTTTACTAACCCATAAAAAAAAGTAGCATTTAAAGGCGGCATTTAAATTTCTACTTTTTACCATGGAAATAACTTATGAAGAATTACAGCAAGAATACTCCCAATTGCCAAGTAATTTTTGCCAGCTTCAAAAAAATGGGTGTGGGTAACCAGGCACTACCTGAATCAGAATTCAGAACAGATTGCTCCTGCTATCTCACTCACTGGCAATTCTGCATCCCAACAATAATAAAATAAATTGGAAGCCAAGTTTCATATGTATCTCAAATTTCTGTCCATTTCACACACACACACACACACACACTGATTCTGTGCCTGATTGGAATAGCTTATAGCCAGCAACACCATACCATGAAGGCTGAAAAGCAAGTCCCCACCAAAGAAAACCACAGAGAAGCATTTCTTCTTTATTGGAATGAAGGAGATGTCACAGCTTCCGGTTGATATAGTTCCCCTTTAAATGCATAAATGTAAGATTTGCCTTTAAAAAAAGAGGGGGGTGGGGTGGAGAGTTCCTAGAATATGAAATGGCACAATGAATATTACTAATAGTCATAAATAATGCCCTTGACTGGCTCTGGGCTTTGCCTTCTCTGCCCAGGAGTAGGCATTGCATACAATGAAGATGAAGCCAACTAGGCCATTTGGACAAGGAAAGGGATGTTTATAAACCATAGTATTTGGCATGAAGACTGTGGGCCAGCCCAAACCTGATTAATTTCTAGATGGCAATGTCAGTGTTATCAATATTATTCATGTTCTTGTCTACTTTGCAGTAAAAATACTGGTTCCAGATTTGCAGGAATGTGGTCCTGAATTTTTTAATCCTGAACGCATAAACAATGGGGTTCATGGCTGAGTTCCCATGTGTCAGAAATATAGCAATGTAGGTGAGGATGCTGGGGGTCTTGCATGAGGGGCAGAAGAAACTGACACAGTTACGGAGGTGCAGAGGCAGCCAGCTCACCGCAAACAAGAAGAGAACCAAGGCAAGGGACTTGGCAATATGCAGCTCCTTCCCATAATACTTGTCTGGGTCTGCTGAGCTGGATGCAACCTTTTTGTTGAGCTGTTTTCGGATGATCTTGAAGACCTCCACGTAGATGGCAAACATGAGGAGCAACGGAGGTAGCACCCAGACAAAGAAGTTGAAGTAGACCATGTACTCCATGCTGATGACGTTCTCAAACTGGCAACTCACAGTGAACTCCGACTGGCTGTAGTTGTGAGCCTTCCGCATTTTGTTCAGGTTGTTCCAGCCAAACATAGGGGTCAGCCCTACGAGGAAGGAAACCAACCAACAGCAAGCAATAGCTGCCCCAGCACGTCTGGGTGTCACCACACTCTTGTAGCTGTGGAAAGAAGAAACATGACATACATCAAAGTCAAACACATCACAGCGTTAGTTTGGAATATCAAGTTGTACAGGAGTTTTGTAGCACCTTAGAGGCAGAGAGACATTTTTAAACAAATCAACTTCCTCAGAAGCATGCAGTAAAATGCCTTGGAGCAGATCTTTATGGGAAGACTGTTTGTGTGAATAGTCATAGATTTTTTAAAAAAAAAACAATCTATGTGTATGCTGATGTGGTGACAAGTTTAGTTTTAATTAAAGTCATTGAGGAACAAAGGCCGAAGAAAAGCCAAGGTGAGTAGTTAACCATATGGTGAAGAGAGTTGCTGGAATGGAATTTGATGCTGACTGAGAACTAGAAAGAAGATATGATAAACTCACCAAAGAGGCCCTCACAAGGCTGATGTGTCAACTAGTGTTATAATATGTGTAGTATGCAATCTTACAAAAGTAGTAAACGCCCAAACCTCATGACGGGAAGGTAGCCCTGTCAATTCCAGCACCTACTTGCTAGTAAGTCAGATAGTAGGAGGCATCAGTTGGAATTTACTATGTAGCAATGTCTTTACAATGGCATACAATGGAACCTCAACTTATGAGCACCCCGTCTTAAGAGCGTCCCAACTTACGAGCAGTCTGAGATACAATTTTCTGTTCTGACTTGCAAGTGGCAATCTGAGTCACAAGCCATGGCTGAAGGAAGAGAGTATGGTGTTCTTGTGAGAGGTGGCAGTAGTGTGAGAATACCCATCATCTTGTGCAGGACCTGCTTGTGGGGAGCACAGCCTCCTCCAGGTGTGGCCAGGTGCCCAACTCACCCTGGGTCCAGCACAGGGCCTGCTTGCAGCCTTCCTTTAGTGAGGTGGCCGATAGAGAAGAGCTGCCCCAAGGGGCTTTCTCCTCCACCAAGTGCTGCAGGGAGGCCTCCAGCAAGGCTCTGGATATGTGCCAGCCAATGAGATTTTTGACAGGGGGGAGGAAGAGAAGGGGAGACTAAAATTGTTTTATTCATTCTGCGATAGAGCTCTTAAAGGGGAAAATTGGTGTGGTTTTGCAGGGGCTGGAACATATTAATTGAAATACAATACATTTCAGTGGGGAAATTTGCTTTGACATATGAGCAAATTGAGTTCCGAGCTTGGTCACAGAACTAATTAAGCTCATATGTCAAGGCATCACTGTATATGTAATTGTAGAAATGTGTTTTAATAGGTGAATTTTATAATGTTTATCATGACTGTGTGCTTTAGTTATGTAGTAACCCACCTTAAGCCACAAGTTGAGGTGGGTTGTATTATTATTATTACACAATAGTCTTATTGGATTCAATGTATACAGGAAATAGCACAAAGAAAGGGGAAAGCTCTAACATTCTTCTTATTCATGTGTGTGTGTGTGAATTCAAGTTGCCTGTTGACTTATGGCAACCCCACAAATTTAATAGGATTTTCTAATGCAAGGAAATCTCAGAACTGGTTTTTCTATGTTCTCCTTCTGAAATATAACTTCTAGCATCTGCTCTTCATTGGCAGTCCCCCATCCAAGTACTAGCCAGGGCTGACCTTCCTCAGCTTCCAAGATAGGATAGAATATGGTACCGTTAGGATATTTAGTCCTTTTTTGAACTTATATGGGATAATTAAAATACTTTGGCATTGCCAGTGTTTGTGCCAGCATTCTTTTTGCCTGAGTGATGTTCATGAAAAATAAACATCACCACTATTAATGCTTGCCCTCCCAGTGTCTACACAGACCTTTTCTTATCCCAGGACATGTGTATAAATGCATCAGCACAGCATGGCATTTTCCAGCAAATGGTTGGTTACTATTTGTTTACAGCCAAGTCTCTCTCTTCTGCACCCCAGTAAGTACACAATGTGATTGTTTATCTTAATCTTTAATTATTGTTTTTAAATAGTTTTAATAGAGGCCAAAAAAGAGAGGTTTGGTCTCAATCCAAACAGTACAATATTATATAACCTAAAAACATCACTCACCCGCCTCTGATGCAAAGTGCCTGTCTGAGAATTGGCAGTCCTTGCATCAGGCAAGCTCATTTTGCCACAAACACAATCGGTCATGATTTAGTGCCTCACCATCTGACACTTTCCTGCATAGACATTACATTTTTAGCATGAAAAATTCTGCAAAGCAGTGGATGGTAATGAAGTTTACATAGCTATAAAGCTGAAAATATTATGCATTTCAGATAATTAGGGAAATAGCAGGGCTGGAAATGGGGAAATCAGTTTTCCTTCACCATACTAATGTCAGGATATCAACATGCAATGAGACGTTTGTTTTGTCTTGAGGAAAGGGCACACACAAAAAACCTAGACACAAATCAATCTAACTTCCTATTGTCTTGATGCTAGCCTTATATAAAATATAACACATAACTAAAATAGCATATAGCAACAGATTAAAACCAGTAAACTATAAAACATCAAACATAAGCAGTATAAAACATGATACATTGGACATTGCACCAATTCTGAGGTTAACATGTCTGCTCCATCTCATTCTCCAAATGCTTGCTTGAAAAGCCATGTTTTGAGTAGTTTTTTAAGTGTCAAGAAGGAGGGGAGGGGAGGGAGTTTCACAGCTGAGGTGCCACCACGAAGAAGGCCCTGTCTCTCATCCCCACTAGTTACACCTGGGTAGGCGGTGGGACTCAGAGCTGGACCTCCTCAGCCGATCTTAATGCTCTGGCTCATAAAGGGAGATACACTCAGATAGGTAAGCTCAAACCAGGTACAGGGGTTTTTTTTTTTCAAATGTGGAAGGCCAACTGTTCAATCTCATGAGCAAGGATGGGGAAATGATGTCTGAGGAATTCTGGGAACTATAGTTCAAAATATTAACACCCCCAAATTCTGAACAAGAAGTCTTTCTTGCTAATAACAATAAAGATTATTCATAAACAAATCACATACCGGTTCTGCACAATTCAGTCTGTGGAATTCACATGCCAGCATACCACAAATATAGGTTGAGTAACCCTTATCTGAAATGCTTGGTCCCAGAAGTGTTTTGGATTTCTTTTGATTTTGGAATACCTGGATTTGCAAATACGCACATAATGAGGTATCTTGGAAATGGGACAAAATTAATGTATATACCTTTTACACATAACCTGAAGAATGTAGGCGAGGGACAAAGCCACATAAGATGATAGAGTCTAGCATCCTGTGTCTAGCAGCTAGAGGCCTCAAGATAACATTTCACTTTTTTGCTCGTTGTTTAGCTCAGAGATAGATGAAGCCTACAGAATTAAGTTTGTGTTGTGGTGCCATATAATTTTATCAGAAAATTGAATTCCCACAATGCAATGTTCTGGCAAATCTAATGCAACCATCACAGGGCGACAAAGAGCAATTACTTCCTTGCTCTCTTCAATGTTGCTAATACAAGGGGTCCTCTAATTTATCTCACTGAGGCAAAGGATGACCTCCCAGGGAAGCAGACAGGGGGCATTCTGAAGAAAAGGACTCTGGCACAGCAAAGCAATCAGCAAAACCTGACCAAAAAAGAGACAAAAAACCTCCACTCAGCGCTTTGTGGGAGATTAATCAACTCTAATGCTGGCAAATGAAAGGTGGGCCAAAGGACTTTTCATTTGCCAAAGTTCCAGGCTCAAATCAGTGAACAGCAGAGAGTGTTCTGTGCCTAAAGCCTCATCACACTAGGAAAAAATTCACTTAAAATCATATTTCTGCCTTCTGCCGAATTCTCGGGTTTGTAGTTTAGGAAGGAGCCTTTAACAGTCTCGCTAAACTACAAACTCCAGAATTCTGCAGGAGGCAGAAAGTGGATTTTAAGTGGATTTTTTCTCTAGTGTGATGAAGTGGCTGCCATGTCTGTTTCACTTTACAAAGGAAAACCCCCTGTTTAAATGACAAAGCACAGTCCTCTATATTTTCCATTTTTAGGGAATGGGCCACAAAGGAGGTAAACACATGGGTCACCTGGTCATAGTCTTCTCCACTAGGGTAATCTATACCACATTTCTATTTTTAAAAATAGCAATTATTAAATGTGAATCTACACATACATTAGCATATTTTATATAAACCTTTGTGCACACTCTCTCTCTCCCTTTTGGCTGCGTGTAAGCGAATGCTTTTTTTTTTTTGCTTTGAAGATGAATGTTTAGAGAACTCCAATCACTTTATGTGAACACAAAAAGAACACAAATTAGAGGCAACCTAAGCATTCACTGTCAAGATGACAAATGCAAATTCAGTTACTGATGCACAGTACTTTAATTAGATTTAATCTCTATAGTAAAGCATGGTTAGAGAGCAGTACAACTGATAGATGCCTTCTTCTCATCTGTTTCCATGCATGATTATTTGTAAGGTAGGGATTTTTTGAAAAAATGCATGATTTCCTCAAATTTGAAAGAAATAATATTGTAATTAGCATATGGTCTCATGACTTGAAGCTATTGAGAGCCCTGTTTTCCATGAATTGGTTGAATACAAGGTTCTGAATTGTGTGGTACTGTCTCCTGGGTACCATATGAAATCTAAATCAATTACTATCAGGCCTGGTAATAGGACAGAGGTGGCTTTGGTGGATGACCTCCATTGGGAATTAGGCTGGGGGAGCATGTGCCTCTTAGGTCTGGTAAACCTTCTGGCTGCTTTAGATACTATTGACCATGGTATCCTTGAGGACTGTCCTTTCTATTTCAAGGCATCCTCTGTTTAAAGTAATCTGGTTCAAATCGAGTTTAAAAATTAGTAACTATTAAGAAGGAAGATAAAGTAAACAAGTAGGCATGCCTCCAGGGAAGCAATACTTAAGGAATGGTTTAGAACACATGTGTCAACTCATGGACCGTGGACTGAATTGGCCCTCCAAGACCTTTTCGATGGCTCTCCAGATGCTGGACTATCACATCTGTATTCCTCACCATTAAACATCATGTCTATAGCTGATGGGAGTTCTGATACAGTATTATCTGGAAAGCTGCAGTTTATTCTGTTTACT